TGCGAGGGGGGCCAGGAAGGACACACAGACACACACACAGGTGTGCCAGGGGGTCGCAGGGATGATGAGAGACACACACACACACACACACACGGACAGGGAGAAACACACACACACACACACAGAGATGATGAGACACACACACACACACACAGAGATGATGAGACACACACACACACACACAGAGATGATGAGACACACACACACACACACAGAGATGATGAGACACACACACACACACACACCCGCAGGGATGATGAGATACACACACACACAGACCTGCAGCACTGCAGGAACAATGCTGCATTTGAGACAGGATGCTTTTATTGAAAAGACCCTGACACAGGAGTTACTTATCCCATCCCTTCCCTACCTAGTCCTGCAGCAGAAGCTGAGCAGCACCTGGAAGGAAGAGTCCTGAAAGTGCTTTACTGGGAGGTTTATTCCTGGAAGACGCTGGATCCTGTGATGCTTGAGTCCAGGGCCGCAGAGCCAGCACCTCAGCACAGTGTCAGGCTGCAGAGCAGAGTGTGGAGGGAGAGCAGCAGCCAGGGCAGCAGAAAGGCTCGTTATATCACTCTGTTCCCTCCAGCTGAGACCTTGCAGGCCTTAACACACTGTCTCCTCCAGGCAGCACAGACATTGTGCCGCTCACAGGGTGCTTGGCAGCTCCCCACAAACAGCCTGATGTGCCAGGACTGAGCCCTGCTAGGGACACAGCACAGCCACAGCAGTGCCCTGGCACTGCCAGCTCCCTCAGCTCTGTGGGGCTCCCCCTGCACTCTCTGCCCTGTCTCTCAGGCTCTGCAGGCTGGCCAGGCACTGTAACAGCAGTAGCTCCTCATCCTCATTTGTGTCTTTGTCCCCTGCAGCAGAGAGAGGCCTGAAGGCCCCGCATGGCCATGACAGAGTGACAGAGTGCAGTGGATCCCTGTTCTCCAGCAGCAATCCAGTCTGCTGTGCTGGCTGCGCCCAACCCCAGAGACCTGACATCGGACCACAGCTCCCCGCGGGGCAATGCCTGCACTGCCCCATGCCCTCAGCCTTGGGCCCAGAGGGGAGCAGCTCCTGGGGGTGCAGGCAGCCCCCAGCCCAGACAGGCAGCTGAGCCAGGTCTGCCTCAGGCAGGCACTAGTCACCCCCAAGCAGGCATTGGTCACACCAGGGCTTCGGCCGAGCTGGTGTGAGGGACATGGAGGC